ACCATCAAATCTCATTACCAATGGAACAATTTTGGAACTCCCCCTAATATCCACTCCAGGTGTTGCTTACAAGTAGGGAATCCTGAAAACAAAAGATTTCTAAATACCTAGAAATGGGAGAGAAAATGATTTATCCATTTCCAAATCATCCATGTAAAAGCACGAGTCTAATTAAGAAGGGCACATGTATAAACATATAAAGATCATAAACCTATATGAATAAAAGTTGTGCCTAAGGGCAAGATTGTCGTGCAATGCTCTGGCAAAAGAAGAGTAGAGAGGCCTACACAATGGACAGGGAGCGCTCTTCCATAAAAAAGGATATGTGCCTAGTGTTTCTATGTGCTTCCTCCTGCTTCCATCATGCCTCATGAAGAATCCCTATTTAGGTTATGCTGAGAGAAGAAGATGACAAAGAAGTAAAAGTCATCAACTTTGATTGTAGATGAAAAAAGAATATTCCAAATAGAATGAACGAGAAACATACCAAATGCTTCTTCTAGCGAAGGCAGAAAACCGTGAAGCTCTCTTGTTTATCCTCTGCAACTGCAAGTAAGTGAAAGGGATGGTCGAGGGAGATGCAAAGCGATGGGTTGGAAGAGTTTTCCGTGGTAATTATTTTTTTGGGAGGTAATTATTTTTCCATCGATTCTTTTTAATTGCCAATGTGGCATGAATGACACATCAATAAAAATGGAATGCTTGTGAAACGCTCAGGTGCTAAACACCCTAATAGTCAATCAAGTTGGGTTTGAGTTAAGCAAAACTAGTACCAAACTTGAACCATTGACATTCCTACTTTAACTTTAAGCCACCCCCACGAAAATAAAAATATATTTGGAGGCATCTTTACTTATTTTGGCTGCCATAGGATTGAGCTTATCTCATCTACTATAGTGAACTTATGTTCTTCAATTATTGATGTGCTAAATATGTTTATAACTACGATTTTTGAATGATTGTTGCTAAAGGTTTAATGGAATTAACTACAATCAAAGTTATAATTAACAACAATTTATATGCTTTATTGCCAATTCATTGATTTAGGTACAATTGGAGATACTATTAGTAACAAGTGGATCCTTAGGTGCCAAATCGCCCGATGAGGCAACAGTTTGAAATATAATTGGCAACAATTATTCAACCATTGTTGCTAATTCATGTGATTTGGAACAATTTTACTTGTTGTCAACAAATTTATACTTTTGGCAACAACCGTTTGTAACTGTAATAGAATACCTATTGCCAAAGGTCATTTTTTTTTTGTAGTGTACAATTTATAGGTTTTCTCCAATAGGTAGTATTGAAATGAAATCTTGGTTTGATGATAAATCAAATGGTGAAAGGTAGATGTGGAAATTGGCATATGTGGATTTAAGGGTGTTTGGATGCCTTTGAGGATTTTTGTTTAGTCCTAAATTAGGATCAAGAGGATAGATCTTTTATTTGAAGGTTTTGGTTTTTGAAGAATATTGAAATATAATCCAGGCTTGATGATGAGTCAAATGATAAAAGGTGGAAGTGGAACTTGGCCAATGTATAGATATAGATTTTCCTTTATTCATTAATTACCTGTCTTCCTTCAAATTAATATTCAAGTCAAATAAGAATTAATAAGCAATATATATATATATATATACATATATATATATATATAAACTGTATGATAATGAAGAAAATTATTACAATTGAACTTAAATCTCAGCTCTGAGACCCCATATTTCTTCTCTGGACAGCATTTCTAACTTGGAGTTTAATTCAATATGGGATTGCACTAGCTCTAGGTGTTATGTTCATAGTTGGGTTTCCTCCCAAAATGTAGAAGATCCAAAAACCTCACGGACTTTTATGATGTGGTAGTAGTTAAGCCCTCTACTAGGGGTCTCTTAGCTTGAGAAGGAGGGGTAGAAGAGGTAAAGGAAGGTTTCATAGGTTTGGTTGGTCTTGTTTTTTTTTTTAGTTGACTGTTTTGTAGGGCCCAGACCTGGGTCCATGTAGGCTTCAATCTAGGTAGGGGTGAGCATTGTTTGGTCAAAACCGAAAAACCAAACTGATTTTTTTTTTTTTATTTTAGTTTGTTTGGTTCGATTATTTCAGTTTTTAGTTTTTTTTAGTTCGGTTGATTCAATTTTATAAAATTTTGGTTCTGGTTTTCAGAATTAGAACTTGGTTAACCAAAATATATTATATATAATATATTATTTAACCAATATATATATAAACATTAATATATATTTATATATACATATATTATTATAATATACATATATATTAATATTAATAATATAATATGTATTACTATAATATTAATGGAATTCAGTTTTAATCAAAATAATCGAAAACTAAACCAAAATTTTTGGTTTCAGTTTTTTTTTTTGGTTTTTAGTAATAGTTTTGGTTTGTTTTATACTTTATAAGTTTGGTTTTTTAAAATTTGGTTTTATTTTTAACAAACCGAATGCCACCCCTAGATCTAGGTATTTTTTTGAGGTTCAATTCATTCTATGTAGCTTAGGTGGCTCTTGGTAGCACCCTTAGTATACAACTTGTATGCTTGTTTCAGATTTTAATAAATAAACCTTATCATGCAACACTTAAAAAGCCAATTTAATTTTTCATGTTATCAATTTTGATAGCATGCCTAATATACCACTTGTATGCTTGTTTCAGCTTTTAATAAATAATACCTTATGTTTCAAAAAAAAAAAAACATGAAGGACTTAAAAATGTATTTAATTTTTTATGTTATTAATTAAAGTACCCAACCCTATTACAAGGATAGATTGTGAGATCATGAGTGAGCTAATTCACCAAGTAAAAAATAAATAGAAGGGAAAATAGAATGTTGGGTATATATCAATCATGGTTCAAAGTATCGATACAACTATGTGTACCGGTAGAGGTGTTTTGGTACTTTAACTGATACATTTCCAATTTTTTTGTAGTTTTTTACTTTTTGAATTTCAGATTCAAGTGTAATTATATATAGATTATTTAACATAAAAAGGGTTTTGCAAAAACACCTGTAAACAGGTGTATTGAGGTCCAAAGATATGATACAATACACCCCATGTTAGATGTATCGTGTAGATACTTGAAACCTTGATATCAGTTGTAGTTTCATGCAAAAAAAAAGGGTCAAATTTTGACACATGGAACAAAAAAGTTGGGCAGATTGTTTATGAGAGAATGGTCGAAGAATCTTCCATCCAAGCCTACATTAGGAAGAAAAGAGGAGTGAAATATATATTAAAAATTAATTAATAAGTAATTTTAAAGTTATGGTAGTGCAGATGACTTAGGTACAAGTTTTGATTTGTTTTTGTTTCAAAATTTATCTTACTTTGTTTGGTTGCACCAAAAATGAAGTAAAATAAGATCCAAATTAAGCAGAATAAAATAAATTCCAAAACAAAATTTGCATTTTTATCATTTGCACTTCCACACATTTGTAATAGTGCAAGTAACCAAATACAATCTTATGAATCTGAGGGATGAGGCAGGCGTAGCTAGAAGTCTAGAACAATGGATGTGGACATTGAAGTCAACGAATTTTATATTAATATTTCGTTTTCTCCTTAGAGGAATCGTTTTCAGTCAAAAAGAAAAGCGGACAAGCACATGCATGCAAGTTTCATTGTGAAATATGCACTCACTTTTACACTTGTGAGGAGCATCCTATTGGTGGGCACGCTCGTAGTCGTAGCCAGCAGGTCTAAGATTGGATTCTTTTAGCTAGACTGAAATGTACATCTTGGTTTCATTTCATGTAGTCCATTAGCTAGAGTGGAATACTTTGCTTTTCTTCCACAGTTAGCTTTTAATTTGTGTCTCGAATATTATTGTCATTTTCTTGCTCCAAAGCAAAACAACAACATCTCAAGATCGATTGCATTGTTCCTTATTTTATTATCCCTTTTAGTTTCGTTTTTTAATTAATTATTGCTATTTTTTAATTAATTACTTGATAATAAAAAGACTTTGCTTAGTTTTATCCAAGATCAAACCAGAGTTTATTTTATTTTATTCGTGTTGGCAATCGGGTTTATTTTGTGATTTTCAATAAGAAATTCAAGATTATTTTTAATCTTCAATGATTCTTGTGGTTGAATGATTTATGCGGGTTTTTAAAGCAGGAATATGAGTTTGTTATTATTTTCATTTAGGTATTGTTCACTTTTCGAGAAGTTATTTATCTTGTGGTAAATGTATTTATTTGGGTAACTGACGATGCTTAGGGAAAATAAATTTTCTATGAACTCTACATAAATATGAAAAAAAGAACATGAGTATCTTGGTCAATGGGAACCAAAATCCCATTAACCAACTTAGAAATAACAATTTTCCCCATCCCCAATGGAGACCCGACTTTCCTGACCCATCGGGTCGGGGATGGAGATTGTTTTGGCGGGGCAGGGATGGGGATTAAGGCCCCCACCCTGCCTATGTACATTTCAGGGATTTGGGTCCCTGCAGGGAACCCATCCCCATCGGGGATTGGGGATGGAGGACAAATTGTATCCCCAACGAAGATCCGAGATGGGAATTAATGGAAGCTAATTTCAGAATCGGGGTCAAGGATGAAAATTTAATCCCTGCCCTGTTGCCGTTCCTAAACCGATTTTTCCACTCTCAAATTCCAAAAACCGTATGGCCATTCTAACAGGAGGAATTCATCTTTTGCGTGAAATGCCTGTTTAAAAAAAATAAAAAGAAAAAAAAGCATATTCAAATATGAAGGAATATGCCATTTAATAATGAGATAAACACTTTCACCACTATTGGAATTAACATCAGCAATTTACAAGAGATGAAAATGTAAAGAGATCCCAGGCCAGTTGTAATATCTATATATTCATCATATTGATATTTTATTTATATATATATATATATAATCCTAACTTTAGATATTTGTAGATATATATATATATATATATATATATATATATAGAAGTAGAAATTAGTTAATAATAATTAGGAAATTAAGATTATATTGATGATGAGTTAACGTCTTCTTCCATTATAGCCAGCCTCCCTGAGGCAATTGAAATAAACGGCAGCAACCGGCAAGCCGAGATTGTAAAGCTCAGAAAAGTCTCGAGTGCTGAAATTTTGGCGCCAGCCTGGAGCATAAATCGTCTGCCTTCCAGGTTGCTGGAACAACACGAACACATAGCGATGAATCCCCAGTACTGGACGTGGGTTCTCGTAGCATACTATCTCCTGCCCTGTATTTTTTTATTTTTTTTAACCAAATACACCACCAACAACACAATGAATATATCGATCATCACCGCCGGAGAACATATATAGGAAGGCTTCGACTATAATATCAGAAAGACATCATATCTGAAAAACTTATGACCAATGAATGATATTTATCAAAATTCATGGGTGGATTTTTATTGGTTAAAGCTATTCCAGTATCATGTCTTTTTGGCATATAATGAATGAACGGAGAGGAAATGACAAAAAATGCTATCAACGAATCAGATCTCCTGTGTACCCACACATCATTACAGCCACACATTAATTGGGAACATCTTCCACGTAAAACACGGGAGGTGTTCCCAATGTAGAGCTGTAGTGTCCTCTAGATAAGTGTGGATAGGAGATCCGAATTGAAGATATTCCCAATGTACGGCTGTAGTGTCCTGTGGATAAGTGTCAAGATTATAATTCTCCAACTGGGTTGGGATTTGATCGGCTTAAACATTGGACCAGCAGTTCAATACTTCAATTGCAATCTGCATTGAATGAAGTCTAAAAGAAATATTTTTGTTGTGTTTCTCTTCACATTAAATGTAAAATGGATGATTTTTTATTCATCAGAAATAAAAAAAAGAAGATAACAACAATAATAATAATAATAATAATAATAATAACTATCCTCTTAATTAAGCAATTAAGATACAATTTTAACCTTGAGTTAGACATATGTATATAACTTTTAAATGCTATTATTACCCTAACACAGTGTTTGGTGAAAGCTCATGACCAGCACTTGTTATAAGCTTGTTTCCATGGCTTTGGCCTTTTCCTTATATATATCTTGGTTGCTACTCTCAATGGCAACTATTGTGTTAAGCAGCTCAACTTAAAGCTCTTCCAAAGAGGATGTGTATATATATATATATATATATAACGGAAGCAATTGCATTAATCTATAAAGACATTGTACGTACAGATTGATTTAATTTACTTACCATGATTTGGGCCAGCACCATCTGGGATATCTGTCACCAACCTATAGTGTAAAAATTTATAAAAGAAGTTAGCACAGCAACCATGACTAAAAAGAGACTAACCAGTAATTTACCACCTATATATTGCATGTTTTAAGTTTTAATTAGAATACTTGATCAATATTCAAACCACAATAATAGCCATGTATATACATATATATATATATATATATATATAACCACCTGAGTTTACTGGAATTTAATTTACTGATCAACAATGGAGAGAAGAAACTGCTATACAGGAAATTAAAATACAGATGAGATGAAATGGTTCAACATGTTAATTGGTAGACATGCGTTGCTTTTCAAAAGTAATAAACAGAAAAGAGGAGAGGAAAAGAGAAAAAAGCAAAAGAGGTAGATACAGGAAGATATGATGGCTAGAGGCGGAGTCATGGCCCCCTTATAGTTCAAAAAATCTTCATAGTAATATAGTTTTTTATATAAAACTTTCCTTCTCATTGTCCATTTCAATGGTTGGCCCCTTTTGTGTCCATCTATATTTTATTTACGTTTTGACCCCCTTATAACATCTATCTATCTATCTCTTTCGATTGGCCTATACAATTACAAGGTTATATAGACACAACGTATACATGGACACAAAAAAGAAAGAACCCAGGAGGTCAGGACCGCTGCTGGTCCACCAAAATATCCTCATTCTAGAAAAAAAGCAGAAAACCACAATCGAGAATTAATGGTGATGGGACGACACGGGTTTCTTGTTAAGGCCCTAAACGTACCCCAGTTCTGGACCAGAACTTTTGGTCCCATGCATCTTCCCAGTCGGGACACGTTTCGTGGAACAATATATAGGAAAAGAATCTTCTCCTCAGAGGTCAAAATGGATTGGACTTCAAATTAAACATATGGACCCACCAACTGAAGGGCAAAAAACCGAAAAGTGAAGTAGTGCAACTTGGTTTGGGCTTGTGCTGAGCATTAGCTCCAGGTCCCAGGTCACATTCATTCTGTGTAAATTCTTCAAATCTGATACCCCATTTGCACTGCACCCCCTATAGGCTATAGCTATAGAAAAGTAAATTTACCCGGCCCTCCCCCTCATCATCATCATAAGAAACTGAAATTCAAACACCACAAGAGAAGCATAATTAATTGTTTCTTGTTTAGTAGGAAAAAAAAAATATATATATACATATATATATATATATACTAATTAGAATTTAGTATATATCTAAAATTAATTGAAATAATCTATTGTATGCAGACCCGGCAAAAAGTTGACTCAACCCAACCCGAAAAAACAGGGTTAGGGTTTCACATTTAGCTACCTAAATGTAAAAATGACCCGATCCAACCCAACCCAAAATAAATTGGGTTGGGTCATGGGTCAACCTGTTGACCCGATTGTCAAGTCTAATTGGGATTATTTATGCATTGTTAGAAGTTTTCATTCTTTATTTTTTTCTATTTAGTCTTTACTTTTTATTGTTTACTCATTAAATTGTTAAATGATCATTTTTTTATTTTATATTTAGAATTTAAGATTAATTCTTTTAATTTTGACATTTTTCATGTAGTTTTTCTTTATTTTTTGGGATGACCCGAATTGACGCATGGGTCAAACCTAACCCAGACATTTAGGGTTAGAGAATAGCATTTGACAACCCAACCTGAAATCTAACCCGAAGTACCTTGACCCAACCCAAACCCAACCCACCCAACCCAATTGCCAGGTCTAATTGTATATAGCTACCCAGGAGAAGAGTCATTCATAGATCTCCATTAACCATAAAAGGGTTCTGCGAGAGAGGGAAAAACAAAAAAGGTTCACCTGCCCTTGCATTACTTCAAATTAATGTTTAGATATGTCTTCATCCATGAGAATGAGAAGAACATTAAATATTATATATATATATATAGCTTCACTGAAATAGAGAAGATATATAGCTGCAAAAATATTTAATTTCTTCTCCACTATTATCATTTCCCTTATCATGTTTGTAGTCATGCTTTAATGGGTATATTCTTATTTCTACGGTATACAATCATATTTTGAGTTATCATCAGTCTGAAACCAGTGTAGCCTGTAAATGTTGCATCGCTTAATTACATGCAAGATTTGATGGTTTCTAGGATGCAAATTCTGTAACTCGAGCATGCAATTAATACGACTCATAGCCCACACTGTTTTTCTAGTTTTTGGTACCACGAGACATGTTTCTGTGCTGTTGAACTGTTATGTATTTGTTAGAATATATAGAGATAAATGGGTTTTAATTATCATTTTGCTGATTTGTAAATTCTGTTCGTGTGGCACAGAAACAGTCTCATGAGAGCACTGTAGACTGTAAAGTTGCACCCTAGAGAGAGAGAGAGAGAGAGAGAGAGATGATCACCAGTGCAAATACTCTCTCATGTTTGGATCACATGGGCTCGGAGCATCAGGATCAACCATTACCTACATACAGTCGAACACAACTGGTGATGAAGTCACAGTAGAGAAATCGATCAAGAGAAAAAAAAAAGCAATTCTATCATTGAAATATAAAAAGGAAGCAGTGCATATGCATTTATTTTTGTGAAACCACAGAAGTAATGCACTGATCCATTTGAAACAGAAGTGACAGACCAAGGCTAAAACATAAAACCCTCCTCCATTAATGGTTAAGGTGCTGCCTGTGCCTGAATTATATATAGGGCAACAACGTACGATACAGGCCACAGCTAGCACTGAACAACAACCGAAGAATATAAAGGGAGGATGAGATATGATCAGGTCTCTGCTACAAAGTGAAGGAGTCAGAGAGATATTACCAACTGAACCGTCATGGATGAGTTAAGGGTTTGGAAGAATTTGAGATGGATCGATCATTGAGACCGATGAGACTAATACTCACCAGTGTATAGAGCTTGCCAGGAGCAGTGCCTCCGACTTCAACTCTGGGCTGATTGACCACAGCGGAGGGCCTAAACTCGCATCCATTATTAACTTCCCTATTGTTGTAAGTGACTCTGAGACGAACAGATCGTTCGAATGGGTCCAACACATCCCCTATCACACCACCAACAAATAAAGGATCCCTTCTGCCAGACATGGTTATGATCAGGACGATATAGATTGCAGCCTGCAGCTAGCAATGTGGTTCAAGTCGCAGATTCCAGTGGGGTGGGTGATAGATGAAAACCATCGTGAGTGGAATGCTATATATATATATATATATACTTCACGCTGCAGGCATCTTATCTTTTCACCTTTAATTCCTCCATGACTAGAATCTGCTTTTCTTCCACAACCTTACTACGTACCGGTAATATATTATATGCTATAGTCCTTCATTCAATTGAAGGGCCATGTGGGCCTACTACTTAAATATTCTGATGAAACATGGAATTCAAATGCAGGTGGAATTTTTTCTAATCATTTCGGAAGATGATGTCACCGTGTTCAATTTCCTATGGCTTGCCGACAGATGGGAATCACCCAAAAAAAAAAAAAATTGTTCCTTTGTAGGAATTTTTTTTTTCTTCATGGCATCATGCTTTTTCTAGTCTTCAATAGCTGCGACAGACGTGATCGATGGTGCTCTGTGATTTCATCGAGTCATCAATTATTTTTTGTGATATATATACATATAGGAAATTAAGTATATATTAGGGAAAAATATGTTGTTTGGATTAAAGGATATGATTCACCTGGTTTTGTAATTCTGTTCTTAATAAAATATTTTTTCTAACTATTTCTGTTTAATTTGTTCTTAAAGAAATGTAGGACTTACTCATCAAAAAAAAAAAAAAAAAATTCATTCAATTCATACAGTTCTCAACCTAATGTATTAGACAAAAGGATCAAAGGTCAAAGCACAAAGTTCTTGTTCACTTAAAGAAAAGTACAAGCAGGAAATAAGAAGACATATATAGGGTACAAGAGATATGAGGAGTTCGAGTGTCCACGTTGTCTGTAGTATAAATGAGGGGACCAAATTAAAGGAACCCAGAATGGAAGCTCTGGCTATGGCTATGCTCTTTGTCTTGTCACTAAGGACAAGTAAATGCAGGCTATATATATAATATGTTCTTCAAGAAATATATATATTTACACATTACCATTCTTATATATAAGATAAATTTTCTAGAGAGAAGGTGAATTGTTTGGGTTAGATTAATTTCTTTATTTCGATGCAGAAAACATATATGAAGGTAGGGGTGTCAATGGACCGGTTTTGGGTTGGACTCCGTCCAAATCAAAATCTATTTGGACGGACCAATAAGACATATTGAATTTGGACGGACTGGATGGACCAATATGACATATTAGATTGGACCTGGTCCGTCCATAATGAATTTATATTGGATTGAGCCAATTTCTGGTCCATTGATAGAAGATTAGAACGTAGGTGTCAATGGACCAGGTTTGAGCTGAGACCAATCTAAATTAACAGGAATTTAAACAGATTGAACAGTCTCTAGACCGGTCTAAAATGGTCCAAAATATTCATTGCACTGGATTGGACCAGGTCCATTTGTAATAGACTCACATTGGACTGGACCGGATTGGACCAAATCCAGTCCAATTGACACCCCTAGGTTGCCGACATTGAAGAAAGAAATATGATCAGAATATGAAGATCACATTAAGATGGATTGTTAGGACGCATATTCACATGACGCTTTTGCATGGAATAAGAAAACAATCAATTTGAGCTTGAGATTGAGATAAGTAGAGAGCTTGAGATTGAGATAAGTAGACGCCACTGTACTGTTTACTGTTTCCTGAAAGAGAGAGAGAGAGAAAAATCTTTCACTGTAATAAGGACGACTACCAATGATTTGAAGGATATTGGATAAGAGCAATCGAACCTCGATCCACTTGTCGATACATCTAGACAATAATAAGAAAAACTGGTACACAACTTTAATCATTGAAGTTGTACTAAAAAATAACATATAATTGTGTCAATTGTTGTAAATATTGAATTTTGATGCTAATTTAATTTTGCCTAGCTCTAGAATCTTATCATCTGAGGATATATATTATCTATTCGAATAACAATCAATTTCCCAAAAGTGTTTAGGAGTTTTCTAGAAAGGAAAAAAGCCCTAAAAGATGACTACACTTTGGAGGACCTTGGAGAGACTCTACAATTCATTAACAACTAATAAGCAGATAAGAACAAGAAAAGTGACCATAAGCTTTATTTATGATCATCTGGTGAGCGACTCACAAAATAGATTAGAATCCAAATTCTAATAAGCTCCAAAATGAGATAGTATGTGGCTCATTCACATTCAATTTGTCAATGAGAATGCCTATTAAAAGGGCATTATAATCCCTCCATAAATTAACATTCTTTCTTAATCCCCAACCTTAATTTACTCCCGGTGGAGGGCGGCCGCCATTAAAATTTTTTTAATCTATATCTATACTGTATATAAAAGTGTGAAATTTTTTTGGAATGAAATTACCCTTTATTTCTTTGTTTGAGAAAGGGTATAAAAGTCATTTTATTATAACTTTAATGTCTACTATAATGGCTATATTTGTGCATTTAATCCATCTCTAATTGTAAGCGTTCAAAATGTAACTTCAATTATTACTTTCCACCTCATTTAATCCCCCCTCATTAAGTCTTATACTTAAGGTATAAAATCCTATATTTTAAGTTATTTTTCACTAATAAATGCTACTAACTAGATTTATGTCAATGTTTTTAACAATATATGTTTAAAATTGACTAAAAAACAATATATTTCTTTGCTCAAGTGGTGGCTAAGAAATTCAACCATCCGAATCAAATTGATCAACCTATGAAATCATAATTAGGTAATGAAAATTTTAAAATATAAATAAATATAGAAAATTACAAAAAAAATTAAACACATTAATGAAAAGTGTCTACAAGCTGCAAATAGTAGGTGTGTTCATAATTGAATGGCTGTAAGTTAAGTTATTTTTAATATATCTCCTCAATGTCTACTAGCATGATTTTCAATGGATGCATTCCTCATGGCAGGTGGAAGATGAAACTGAAATGATTGAAGATGGACAACCAAAGGTTCGGCCAAGGAGGAGGCTTATATTGACAACACAGTTAATGCAACAACTTCTTCGCTCTGCACCAGAAGCACCAACAAAAAGTTATGCTTATTATTGGTTCATATCTACTTATCAAAAACATTATTGGTTCATATCTCTCAGCTAAGGTAGTGGGGTTTGTGCCATTTTCCTTTATGTTTTTGGTGTGAAAACCCTTTCTTATATTTTTTTTTTTTGTTTTTTGTCATTCTTTTTCTAATTTGGAGGGCTTTCAAATTCCGGGGATGTCAAGGGTTTGAAACAGCATCATGAGGCTTCCACTCTGGCGGGTTCAGATCTGTGAATGTTAGAAAACAAATGAGAAAAACTTACAGAGTACTTACCTCCTGCCTTATGGCCATCGGCGTCAGCCGGCGGAACTCGATCGGATTAATCTCTCGTGAGTGGGTTACGAAAGGGGGCTGGTGCCAAGAGTTTCAGTTCAAAGTAGAATGGAGGAGTATGGGAGAAGAAACACTTTTGGGCAAGAGAGGAATTAACGGAGATGCATATCACGGCGTAAAATGAGCTCCACACACGTCTAGCTTAATGCAAGTGTATCATGACACGTGTCACGTTCTGGTTTTGTGGGACGTTTTTGGGGGGCAAGTATGTGGGGGGCAGATGCGAACCCTTTGGCATCACAGAACACATTGATGGCTTATGGCCACCAGACTGCATGTGATGCATGTGTAAATCCCTGTGAAATATACCATTGAACAGGGTACTCTGGAATCCCTGTGAAATATTAGCTTAAATAGCTGTGTAAATCATACCTGGAGCCTGGAGGTAGTTTCCACTTGAGTGCTTAATGCGAACTTTACTACTCCTTCTGTTGCCAAAACAGAATCCCCTTCACCATTACAGGTTAGAAACTGGCCACTGAAAGAGCGCAACTGAAATCCTGTCCAGAAGTGCATCTTCGTACATGCATATGAATTATACCTATAAGAATAAATGAAGTCATAATCAAGCTTCATGGACTTGAAAAGAAAACAGTCTTAAGTAAAATGTCAGATCCAATAGCAATACCACCAATTCCACAATACATAGCGAAACTCTGGCATTTTAATTTGTAGACCCTGAAAGATGGTTGAGTTGCCACTAGCTAAGATGCTCCTGCTCATGGGTGGGGGTGGGCAAAGGGTTGAGGAAAGCAATGGAGGTCAGGTCTCAATTGTTGGACATACTCAAAACCTTAAAGATTCCACTTACCACATGTGGGGGCCTGACTGGGGTGTTGTGAGGAAAGCCATTTGTTCGGCATATTTCAACAATGCAGCAAGGTTGAAGGGTGTGGGGGAATATGCTAACTGTGGGAATGGGATGCCATGCCATGTTTTTCTTAATGGAAGAGTCAGAGACATTCATGCTGGAACACAAGAAGCAGTAAAAGGAAGATAAGACAGTAATGGAAAATTTGAGGAAATTACAAGCAGCGGTGGAGGGAGAAATCAAAGCCAAGGAGAAGGAGAGGAGGGCGAGGCAACAACAACGGGTGTCAATTGATGCCAGGATTTCATCCACCAAAGAAATTTGCCTTGTAACTGTGTCATATTGTTTTTACTTAATAATTTTTTTATATTAAAATGAGATATTTTAATGTATATAGAGATGGAGGTTTAGGCTGTACTCATGAGATGAACCATGTTGGGATTTTGGATAATTGTTTTGCAATCTTTGTGGTGCAAGGGGTTGAATGCATCTTTTCCCACTAATTTTTGCCCAAAAAAATCTTTTGTTGTGGTCTTAAATATCAATTTTATTTAAAAAAATAAAAAAGAGAGAAAATACAAATTTTATAAACAAGGGAGTGTTCTTTACTCTCATCGAGGTATTATTTTTGCAAGTGTAAAAAATATTGAAATTAACCTTCTATATAGAAAAAAAAAAAAACTTAGCTCTTAGACAGCAGTTAACTAATTGCAAACTTAGCCATAAATAAGGTTACGTGTGGCAATTGGATATGATATAAGCTGGCGATTTAGACCGCCGTCTTATGTAACCGGCCATTTTTGGCAAAACCTAAGCCGACGTTCATAAATGCCAGCACAAATGTAAATTTCAAATGTAGCCAGCAGTT